TGTTCTCATTTTCCTGCTATTAAATGCACACACACGCAGAGTAGTTTCCCATGATTCACAGGGATACATTTCAAGGCTCCTAGTGGCTGCTTGAAACCACGGGTAGTACGGACTTTATATATTCTATTTTTCTATACATACACATCAGTGACTAGGTTTTATTTACAAATTAGGCCCAGTAAGAGATGAACAGAAATAACTAGTAACCAAATGAACAATTATAACAATATACTGTAATTAACTACCAGCTTCATTAGTGTTGTGCTTTGGGGACATAAGTACAATAAGGGTTACCTGTCTACAAGCACTGATGTACTACAACAACTGATCTGCTAACTGAGCTGGCTACTAAGTGACTAACAGGTGGGTAGCAGATAGTGTGGATGCATTGGCCAAATAGATCATTTACAACCTCGGTAGGATGGCAAAAGATTTCATCACTCTACTCAATGGCATGCACCTGAAACCTTACAAGTTATCCCTGAAATTTTCCATTTAACATTTTCAGATCACAGATGATCAGAGGTAACTGAAACCATGGGAAGCAAAACCACAGATTTAGGGAATGTTTTAAAACTATATATAGTTTTCCCTTATTTTTTTGCCAGAAGGTAACAGACTGTATACTGTCTTTTGCACCTTGCAATAAAAGCGAACTTTTAAAACATTAACACTGAAAAGTAACAAATCCACAAAGAATATTTCAAAGTATTTTGTACCTTATTAACCCACCCAAGAGTAGTAAAAAGGAGATGTTATAAGGTAAAATAACATTCAGATGGAAATATCCATTGTTAAATGTTAGGAATATAATATCCTAATAAATTTCATGCACCTAAAAGCACGGTCTTCTTTCACGGGCAAACATTAGTCCAAGAAGTGTAACATGGCACTGGAATGTGCTAACTATATTAGTGAGGTCTCGCTCCATAATTAAAGTATTTAGACAAAATCTGGAATTCCACAGGGGAGATTCCAACTGTCTCTCAATGGGAAAGCTGTGCTGAATCAAACTCATGATTCTATTTTTCATTCATACCTAAACAGCTTCTGAGAGTAACCTTCTATTAAATTATACTGGATGTGTTATTCATAAAATGACCTTGATTCATGAAGAAAACACTAAACTGTGATCAGCTGTACAGCACCGAACCTGACTGGAGCTCTAAAAGCTTATAGGAGGCTGTTTGTCTTCGGAGAGTGGGCAATATTAATTTGGAATCTGACCCGGCTGGGCAGGTCTGGCTGACCGACTACCCAGTAACTATTAGAATGCAGGATTTAAGATAGAAATGCTGGCCGGAAATAAACTCATTCCAGGGAAGAAAGGGTCAGACACGGCAGGTAAGTTCCCCATCGTATTTCAGTCAACTGGAGGAATGGTTCTAAGGTTTACCTAGAGTTGCTCTCCAACTTCAAAGGGAAGTTTTCACCCTGTTTCTTCTCAGAACACAATTTGGCTCGGCTCAACACAGGCTCCAGGAACACTTTTTGGGGTAGAGGATTTCAGGACATCAAAACTTCCCATGGTGGGGCTGGGGATTTAGCTCAGCAGCAAAAGCACCTGCCTGGCAAGCGCAAGGTCGTGAGTTCGGTTCCCGGTACCGGAGAAAAACCAAAAAAAAAAAGAAGTTGGAAAAAACTTCCCATGGCAACATTGAGATGGCGGGGGCAGGAAAACACAGGCTGTATCCAATGACGAAGAACCTGCATACATTTCTGCATGCAGAAGAGGCCTCAGAAGCTGCAAACAAGTAGGTAAAGTCTTGTTCATGAGCACACTGAGATACATATTGGTGATTCTGAGTAATAAAGGGTAGAAAATGATTGGGTATACTACATCTCCTTGGAATCAGATAAGGGTGAGAAGTTGGTTCTCCAGAGTAGTCAGTTTGTTATGCTAAACAAGACCTGTAGTGGTTTTTAAACAACTCTGGAAATTCTCTGGCACTTCTTCCATTGAAACTGGCAGATCTCTATCCCCTCTCTTGAAGTAAGAGGCTCAGTGACTTCCTTGTTTCTAATAAAATGTAGCAGAATTGACGCTGTGTGACTTTGGAGGCTGGATCATACATACCATGCAATGCAGCCTTTACCTTGCTTACTAGGACACTAGCATTTGAAGCTCTTAGCTGCCTTGGAAGAAATCTGACCACCCTGAGGCAGTCATGTTAGAAAGAAGTTCAGGCCACACAAAGAAAATATATTTAGGTGGTTTGCATGACTGTCCCAGCTGAGGTCCCAGTTTCAACCACCAGTCATGTCAGTAAAATGCCTCCAGAGTATTCCAGTCCCCAACTACTGAGACGCCCCCAGGCACTGAGTTTTCCTCAGGTGAAGTCCCAGACATGAAGTCCAGATAAGCCATCTTTGCTATGCCTTTTCTGAATTCTGACTGAGAGGGTGACTTTACATTTTGTAAAAGGCAAAACTACAACATTTGAGCCTCACAACAATACAGTTAAGTAAGTTGGACTGGCATTGCTATCACGCTCATTTGATAGATTAAAGGGCAAAACAACAAACTGGAACTTTAGCTTACCTGTTTTCAGCTTATATACCCAAGATGTGGCAGATTGACACTAAAGTCTGATTTCAGACTCCAAGAGTATAATTTCTTTGTTGTTTCTTATACTGTGGCACTGTAGCATGGCCTATGAAAATAGAATATATTCAAACCTTGAAGACAGGATGAGAATATGTTGAACGAATGAAAACTAACAAAAATCCATATTAAATGGATGAGATCAACGATCATGTGGAGAAGTAATCATGTACGATATGGTCAGGGTGCTGTAATCCCAGCGCTTTAGGAAACTGAGGCAGGAGGTTGAGAAATTTGAGCCCAGTCTGGGCAACTTAGCCATTTGTTTTTTCAAAGAAAGGCAAAAGCCAGGATGCAGCTTGGTGCAAAGGCTCTAGGTTCAATCCTTAGTACCAGGAAAAACAAATATGACCTATCTTTATATGCTGATGCTGATAAATAAGCCTGTCATTTAAAATGGAACCAATGGGGGAAAACTTAGAACTTTTCATGTTATATATTTTAGGGGCTAATTTTTAAAAAATCAAATAGGACACTTAGAGAATAAAATAAAAACAACAAGCAAATACACCTCCTGCCACTTATGTTTCTGATAATGGCAACAAAAAAGGGTTCCTTGATTGGCTGAGGGTGGTATTTTAGTCTGCTGAAAAATACGTCATGCTAAAAAAAGAGTGCTTCAGACTAGCATAGCTTCATGACATTGTCCTTAGGATTATCTTCATTTATTGTTTGCCAAAGTACCTTCTGATTTAAATTCAGCTTCTCAAGAAAAGTTTCCTACTTGGAAGAAAACATGTAGTGAAGTTGACAAGGCATAAAATTCTCATTTGATGCGTGGTATTGTTAAATGTAGAAAATATTAGTATTCTGAGTCATCAAGTAGCCACATACACAACTTTAGCCATTAGTATCAGCAATCAGGATCATGGGGACCAGATCATATGAGCATACTACTTCAGAGGTCAGTAGGATAGCTTTCTCGATCTCCAAGCGTGCTAAATAATGTCACTGATGACACTCTCCACCCCTATGAAAAACACAGACAGCCAGAAACCACTCAAGCTTTTGTAACTTCATGTTCAAGTCACTTTGACAATTAACTGCATATCATCAGTAATTTCAGCTATATTTCTGTTTCTCCCTTCCTTAAATTTTTCTGATTATTCACACTTTTTTGAATGTACTTTAACATTTTTATTTTTTAAATTCCATTTTGTAATTAGGCATCTCAAAGAGAATATACCTCTCCTTGCCTGGTTGTTTTGCACACACTTTGCAGAGAACGCCTTGGAATATTTTGTTCACGATAGGCGCAAATATGTATTTTCACTGATTTTCTTCAAAATAAGAATGATTAGTTTTGATGTTTTGGATGTCTAGAATGCTATGTGCTCCGCATGCGCCCTACTACACGGAAAGCACTCGATTGATATTTAAATGAATGAATCTAGAAATCGGATAATACAGCCAAAGAAAACATTCTTATTCTCCTTAGCGATGAGGAGAAAAGAGCTTTTAGATTTAAGTTTAGACTCATTTTAACAGGTCAAGTCCTTCAAGGAAAGGGTACAAACACCATACTGACAATTTAGCTGTTCCTCGCTGTAATGGAAATAACAAGTAGTATGGGCTTCCCCGCCCTCCTCCGTCCAGGATCTCAATTTCTCGAACACCACCCCTGCGCTTCTAGTAAATCCCACATTGCAGAACAGGCTGAGGACCGAGGAGATGAGAAGAAAGTAGGAAATTGGAGCCATGGAAACCGCAGAGCTGAGGGAAAGTGCAAACGCGCGGGCGGCCCGAGGCGAAGGCAGCCCCCCCACCCCACCACGACGGCGCGAGGGCGCTCCGTGGATGACGTCACGCTCCAGGGGTGACGTCACGACCGTGACACGGGGTGACGCCGTTGCCGCGGCGACTTCTCGTCGTCTCCGCCCCCTTCGCCCGCCCCCCCTCCCCGCGTCCTTCCCCCAATCCCCTCAGGCTCGGCTGCGCCGGGGGCCGCGGGCCG